CTTTAAAAAAAAATCACAGTGGGAGCAGGTGTCTGGTGTTGGTTTTCTGTGAGTTAGCCTCTCTCTTCTTTTTGTTATTTTTTGAGACAGAGTCTCGCTATGTAGCCCAGGCTGGCCTTGAACTCACAGTGATCCTCCTGGCTCAGCCTCCCGAGTACTAGGATTACAGGTGTGTGCCCATGCTTGGCTGGTCTCTGTTTTTGGTAGAGTCTATTTCTGTTTCGTGTAATGTTTGAAATGTGGTTTTTTCTTTCCTCATTACTTCATGTTTATTTTTTTTATTACATTACTCTTTCCTCTATTCTTCACCCTTATTTTGCTGCTTTGGTCAAGTTATTTTTTTGCCCTGTCTCCTGCGCATTGTTAATCCCAATGTTTTTTTTTCCATTCCGTAAGTGGTATCTTCCCTTCTCTCGTTTCATAGTTAGAAATATGATTCTTCACTTCTTTACCATTGTCACCACCAAGATGCTTTCTTTCCATCATTAAATTGTTCTGTTTCCATGTATTCTGTCCCAGCCTCATCCAGTAAGGGTTTCCCTTGGACTCATCCCACCCTGGTGGAGCCAGGTCACTGTTCTTGGCACCCTGTGGATGCTCCCAGGCCCGACCATCCTGTCCCTGCCTCTGTTGCACATCGCTGAGGCCTGGCCAAAGCCCCTAATTGACTTTGCAGCGTGCTCTCTTCTCTAGTCGTGGCTCACCACAGGCCCACGTCCTCGGCATCACCCGGCTCTGCCCTTTGAGGAGCCCTCACTCGGGCATCATGTGGTAGGCTGTGAGCTCTTGCGTGCTCTCAGGAGTCCTTCCTCAGTCCTCACCCCTAGTGGAGACCTGGACTGCTGGGGCTCTGTGGGTGTGACTCTGTCTTCCAGCTTCCCGCTGCACACCAGGCCCTGGATGCTGCTGGCCACTTCTCTGTCGGCGACATGTTCTCTGCCTGGTATCTGGAAACAAGGGGCTTCATCCTGCAGGCGCAGGTCTGCTTCCGTGAGGAATGTTTTCTTCCATTTGTCTGATTATTTCATCTCCTTTCCTGGATGTCTTTACTTCCAGAACTCTTGCCATTTCATTTGCCATCTCTGGGTTTGCTCCTTTAGCTCTCTTAATGATTTCTCTCGCTACACTTCCCCTCTGTTTCACACATTACTTTACTTATGGTTATCCCCTGTGCTATTAGGGTGGCTGTCAGGCCCTGAGTTGTCTCATCTATCCTACCTGACCCCACATGACAGGTGGTTCATGTTATTTTTAAGTGAAGAGCTTCCAGGCTGTGATGTCACTAGGCCAAGGGGTGACTGCGTTTGGGTCCATGTCAGCTTGTTGCTTGATCCATGTCACTTTTACTGCCCCATGCTAGGCACAGAGACACTCAGGAGGGACTCCTCTGCCTCCTTACTGGCCCCTGGGAGTTGTTGAGTGCAGGGTGAATTATGCACTGTTTTCTGTGCTTCATTCAGGGCCTGACACAAACAGTCTACCTGTTTATTGAACAAATAGTGTTGACCAGGGCTACCAAGGACTTGGTGTGAGCTCACCCTGCCCTGCAGCACCCAGGAGAAAGGAGGCACGTATGTGCTGCATCAGGCCTTCTTCCTGTGCTGAACTCTGCTGTCATTCACAGACTGCTTCAGTTTTTCATTTTCCCCTTGCTTGAAGATCCCAGATTTTTTTTCTTGAAATTGGCTTTTTCATTATAGAGACTATGCACTGATTAAGCTAAATTTGGAAAACGCAGAAAGTTGAAAAGAAGTGGTCCCTATCTTGCATGGTTTTCCCATGAAAGCTGGGATTTGAATGCCTTATTTCTCCATTTCTGAGAGAACCCCTGCTTTTCCTGGAGCTGGGTGGGGCTGCTGCCCAGCACAGAATCGAGCACCCAAAGCTGCTAACTGCATGCCATCTGCAGGCTTTGCATCCCCACCCCAGAGACCCAGACCCAGGAAGTGCTCTGTGGGAGTGTTGACCTGGGTCTCTGCTCCTGGACCCAGGGTATCCTGGCTTCTGTGGAGCTGGGTGGTGTCTCAGTCCTTGGTTTTGCTGGCTGCTGGCCTGGAGTATGGGTTGCCTGTGGAGCTGGAGTCCTTGCAGGTCAGGCTCCCCTTACCCTTCAGTGTGTAGGTAGAGTGAGGAGCTGGGGGCCTGCAGGGACAGTGTGGGTAAGTGTGGTTTTGCACAGATCTGGCTTTTGGCACGACAGCACGTTTGTGTGTGGGTGTGGGCACAAGTGGACATGTATGGAGTGTGGACAGACACTAGTGAAAGGTTGTGTTCCTGTGAAGCCATCCTCACATGCAGCTGGCTAGTCCTCACCTGGGTGTGTCTGGTGAGCCAGGAGGGACGGCAGGGTCTCCATGGACTTGGCTGTGTGTGCACGCAGTAGTGTATGCAACTCTTGGGTCCTCTTTACCCTCCTTCCCAGGGTGGCCCTGCCTGTGTTCATGGATGTGTGCTGGTATGCATGCTGGGAAATGTGTGTGAGCACTTTTCCGGCTGGGCCAGGCATACGCTGTCAGGTGTGCATGTGTGACTAAGTAAGGGTATGTGGGCTGCCGTGGGCTGTGTGTGTTCTGCCTGTGTGCGGGCCTGTCCTTGTCTGTGCTGCCGTGTGCCTTCCCCTAGACTGCTGCTTATGAGCAGATGGTATCTGTCTGAGCTGCTGGCAGTTCTCAGCACCCAGCAGGACTGAGAAGTCCCACCAGTGAGCCAGCTCCGACTAAGGGGCAGAAACTGTCCCAGTGGCGTCCAGGCCTGGGTCGTGGGAGGAGGGCTGGGATAGAGCAGTACCTTCTGTGGGTGTGGGTCAGGTGTGGTGCCCAGAGTTGTGCATTTGCACTTGGTCCTTGTGAGGCCATTCTCTGGCTGATGGACACACTTTGAGGCCCTCCTCCTGGGCCCTGTGGACATCATCTCCCCATCTGTCTCACATGGCCATTCAGCTCATAGACAAATTCTACCAGGGCAACTGAGAGCCTGGGCGTGTACTACACGTGTGTGAGAAACACACATGCTTATACAAGCCTGCATCTGTGCCTGGGGACCCCTGACCCAGATGGTGAAGCCCCCTGCAATGCCCTAACTGGGTAGCTGTGTGCTTACTCAGAGGACATCCCAGAGAAGAACACGTGCAGATTCTTAGTGCCCAGAGCAGAGACACTCTCCACGGTGCAGGCATGTCCTGCTGCAGGGGCACTACGTGTCCGGTAGACACTGCCAGGCACAGGGACACCAGATCCCCTGGGCACCCATGAAGGCCATTTGTTTGTGTGTCAGATGCTCAATGAGCCCAGCGCCATGCAAGGGGCCCAGTGGTTAAAGGACCGCATGGCCTCATCCAGGGAGTTTGTAGCTGGGAACTGAACACAGGAGAGGGCAGCAGGCAAGCATGGTGATAGGGTAGTGGAGTCACTTCATGGCTGGGATGGTGAGGAGAACCCTGTTTTAGATGGAGCACCCCGAGAGGGGTGCCCGTAGAGGTGACTTTGAGGCCAAGAACTGACGCTGAGGAGGCAGCTGTGGAAAGGAGACGCAGAGAGAGGCATTTTGTGCCCTGGGCGTGGAAGGGCCGAGGCAGAGCAGAGGTGGTTCATGGAAGGGAGGAACTGTGGTTGGGATGAGCAGGGAGAGAAGCAGGAGGTTAGAGCAGGGCCCGCTCAACCCCAGATGGTGAGGATTTGGGGCTTTTTGGGCAGGAGAGCAGCCATACATGTACGTAAATGCAGTCCATTATGGGGCCTGTGGTGCTGAGCCTAGGTCAGCCAGTGCTGCAGGACTCTCAGACGGCTGTGCGGAAAGGGACTGGCTCGGCCAGATGTGCATCCTGGGAAGGAAGCTGGGAGCGCCTGCCGAGTGCTGGGCTTGCAGGGCTGCCTTCCCGGAAAGTGACCAGGTGCGGGGTCAGAGCTAGTGACTGCCCACCGCCAGCCCAGTTTGGCTCTCCCGTCTGGTGCCCAGCGGGCATGGGCTCCCTGAGGCCTCCGATCCCTCATCAGGCGGGTGAGGCTGGGGCCAGGACCCTTGCAGGGTGTGGCAGAGATGATGGCCACAGTTGCTTACAGCCGGCCAAGGGCCCTGGGACAGGTCCCTGGGGTGGGTGTGTCCCGCAGGGTGTGTCCACAGGTAGGGTGGCCCGCGTCCTGGGGGCTAGTGGTCCCTGTTCCCTCAGCAAGCTGTTTGTTCTGCAGGGTCCCCCTTCACCCGGACTAGCCTGAAGAGTGGAAAGACAGAGAGCTCGTCATACTTTCGGAGGAAGGAGAAGATGTTCCGGTTCTTCATCCGACGCATGGTGAAGGCGCAGAGCTTCTACTGGGTGGTGCTGTGTGTGGTGGCCCTGAATACACTGTGTGTGGCCATGGTGCACTACAACCAGCCGCAGCGGCTCACCACAGCACTGTGTATGTACCAAGGGCACTGTGTCCAGGTTTTGAGGGCCCCTCTGTCCCTGCAGGCAGGTCCTGGCTGGTGTGATACAGGTCAAGGGGTCCTAGTTGCCCAGATGACCAGGGCCAGGCCTGGCGAGGCAGACCTGTGTCTTTCTCAAAAGGGCTTTAGACCCATAGACCAGGGGACTTCGTGTTGTGCTCCTTCTGCACTGAGAATGTGCCTCCTGCCCTGGAGTCCTGAAGAGGCAGAGTCCTGGCTTCTGTATTCTCCCAGCAGCCTTTTCTGGTCATTTCCGTTCTCCTTTACCATTGATTGGAGTGTAGGGGTGTTCATGACCAGAGCGGGTTTGTGTCCTGTGTCCATGAGCCCAAGGACCGTCGTGAGTATCACAGTTGTGCTTGTCTTGGTCCCAGCTATATCTCAGAAGGCAAGGAGGAAGATGCCAAACAGAGGGGCTTCTTGTGTCTGTCCCAGTCCAGGACCGACATGCAGAGCTGACCCCATCCGTAGGCCTTTTGAGCCTCACAGTGTCCCCTCACCCACTCTCAGGGGTCAGCTGTACTCACACTGGTTGATGTCTGCCATGGTTCTGTGGAACAAGACCTGTTTTGGGCTTTCAGGATGTTCTGGCTCCCTCTAGGAGGATCTGTGGGCCAGAAGCTACCCAGGACACCCAGGAGCCTTTTCTGCCCTAGAGAGCAGCCATCCTGGTCCCTAGCCCTGGCCCAGCTGCCTGACATTCTGCCCCCGATGGTGGCCTCACCAGAGTCCTGTAGGCAGCACTGTCCTCCTGTGTACCAGGAAACCGTGCAGCTGCTGAAGGTTGCTTTGGAGTCTCTCAGGGCTCCACAGGAGACAGGTGCACATAGGCTGTGCTGGCTTGGAGTCTGGCCTACAACTTCACCACCTTCTGTGGTGGACTCTGTTACTCGTCTTGTGAGGAAAGGGCAAAGAGGCAGCAGTCATGGGGATCCCAGGCATGCTTGTTTTAGGAGCTGAGGGATGTCAGCAGATGGGGCAGGGTGAGGTAGCTGTGGCAGCTGTGTGTGTGCTGAAGTAGCCTGGTTTGTTCTAGTTCTTGTGTCCTGGAGCTGGTAGTTTGGCATCAGGACTTGGATAGGGACTGAGTTCAGTGCTGCCCTTGGGTCCACCCAGTAGAGGTTGGGGGAGGCAAGGAATCTGCTTCTTCCTCACCAGCCAGCTGAGCTGGGGCTGTTCTTCCCACGCAGGACCAGTGGTGCCCTGCCCATGTCACTCACAGTCAGTCCTGACTTCCGGGTAGCTACTGCCTGAGCCAGCCAGTGAGTGAGTGAGGGGGAGCCTAGGCAGCTGCTTGTGCCTCTAATGGGTGGGAGCACCGGGCTGGGCTAAGCCTTTCCACTCTCTGTGGTTTCCTGTAGTTCCTGTCTCCACTGCCTCACTAGGGGAGAATGGCAGGAGGGAGAGGTGATGTTTGCAGGGTGTGGATGTTTCTGCCAGTGCCCAGGTTCTGTTTGACAGCTGGGCTGACCTAATAGGACAGGGCAGGCTTGCACCAGCCTCACCTTGTGGCCCCAGCCTGAGACCTGCACCCTGTGCCCTGTGGATGGGGCCGTGTGCACCTCAGCTGCTTGTCCACTGAGAGCTCATCCCAGTACTTCGCCAGATCTTCTGAGCCCAGACTTGGACAGTGAAAGGAGAGCCGTGAGGCCTTGTCGTCCTGCGAGCCGCAAGACAGATCACACCACCGTGCCGCGTTCGAAGCACACTGGCCTCTTCCTGTACAGAGTGCCGTTTTAACTCTTCTTCTGCTTCCCCCTGGGTTGGTGAATTGGAGAGAAAGGTGAGCCTGTCTCTCGTGCCAGCTCCTGTGGCACTAGCATCTGCTAGTTGAATGAGTGAATGAGCACCTTTCTTGGCTTCAGAGGGAAGGTAAGGTGTTTGAGGCTGAGCCACATCAACAAGATGCTGGGGCTTCCTGATCCCTTTCCCTGAAGGCTTCACCTTTGGCAGTTGTTGCACCAGCTCCTTGCAAAGTTCCTGTGCTCAGATCCTTCAGGAGGCAAGCTGAGGATGTGACAGCCTCATCCTGAGGTCTAGCTTGTAGGTGGCTGGCAGTCCTGTCCCCGGGGCTTCTCCCTAGTGGCCCTGTACGCATAGGAGCCTGGGGGCACAGGCAGAGCCTTTATGATGAGTGTGGAGGGACTTGGGTTTCCTGGCCAGGAACACTGAGTCTTTGCAGGCTGCTGTATTTTCCTGCATCTGCTGGGGTGTCCAAGCTGAACTGTGTCCTCCTTTCTTGAGCAAGCCTGGCCAGAGGGTCAGTGGCATCTGTGCCTCTGATGTTGGCCTTGCGGTTTCTCCAGGTAGTGTCTCAGCTTCTTGTTGTCCTGTGCTCAGTGTGGGAGCCTAGAGATTTTCCACCTGCTTCAGAGGCCAGGCTGGTGGTCGGAGAGTTGCTCCCAGCAGCTGGTTGTCCAGGTGCTCAGGCCACTGGGGGAGAGGATCCCTCCGCTCTGTCTGTTTGCATGGTGCCAGGTGGCTGTGGAGCCAGGAACTCTGCTTGTTCTGGGTCAGGACAGGAGAGGCAGATTTCAGGGTACACAGGGATGGGAAGTGTGTCTGTTTCATCAGGAGTGGTGTTTGCTTGAGGTCCCAGTCCTGACAGAGGCCTGGGAAGGCTGGGCTAGCCTCTGACCAGTTGTAGGTCTTTTGGTGGTTTGCCTTTATTCCCTTCTTTGGCTCTGCTCTGGTCTCAGAACTGCTCCTTTGGTTGGAGGCCGGGGCACCCCTAGCCTCTGGGATGAAGTAATCAGCTGATTCCACTTTGGTAGGAGGCAAAGACAGTGGCCTCAGGCAGTGGACATACCGGGGCCAGGCAGTCACCTCAAGTCCTGATGGGCTCTGCTAGTCCCCGCATACACTCTGCCACCGGCAGCCTAGTGCCGGAACCACTGTGGGGTCACCGCGTTCTCTTGCTTCGACTTTTTCCTCCTGCTCGGGCCGGGCTAGTGGGGTTTGTGTGCCTTCCAGCATCCGCGTGGTCTTCCTCTAGGCCTGAGTCCCTGGAGGTATGGTAGTGCTGTTGCTGGGACCTCTGGGTCAAGCCCTCCTCTTTCCCCATCATTCACTGACAGAGCAAGGAGTGGACTCACGCAGGCCCTTGGCTTGCTTTGTTGCCCCTGGGGCTCTTGTTGAAGGGCCCAGGTTGTTTGGGTATCGGAGTTCTCCCTCCATGTGGGAAAAACACGTGATCAAAGTTAAAATCCAACATGATTCTGTGGGGTCCCAAGGAAGGTGTCAGTAAGTCCTTGTGGAGGCAGGGGACCTGACAAAGAGGCTGAAGGGCCATCTGCAGTCAGAGCATGGATCTGGAGGTGGTCCTCAGCTTGGCAGCCCCAGGCCTCCTTAGAGGTGTCCCCTGTGACCTTGGGCCTCTCCTGAGCTGGTCCTGGAGCTGTGTCCCATGGGCTCTGGGCACTCACTGTTGCCTGGACTGGGACGAGTGTCTCTTGTGTCCCTTTCAACCATTCTTTGATTGGGCAGGGGTTTCAGAGCATGAGGGTGCAGACTGGGTCTGGGACACCCACCCTTAGCAAGGCCTGGTGATGTGGTACCCTCTGGTCTGGGCTGAAGGCCAGGTGGAGCCTAGCACTAACCTCCATCTTCTCCCGCTTCTCCTAGACTTTGCAGAGTTTGTTTTCCTGGGTCTCTTCCTCACCGAGATGTCCTTGAAGATGTATGGCCTGGGGCCCAGAAGCTACTTCCGGTCTTCCTTCAACTGCTTTGATTTTGGGGTGAGTGAGACACCTCGTTAAGGATTCCTTTTGAGTGTCTGGTGCATTGGAGGGGTATCCTTGCCTGAGAGTGTTCACAGCCCCTCCCATATGTGTACCCCATGTGGGTTGAGCTCTGTGGTCCTGTATGGGTCCCAGAGGCTGCCTAAGACTGAGAGGTACAGGGAGATGGCAGAGGGAGCCTGACTCCTTGGCTTGACTGAGGGAGAGTGCAGTGCAGCCACTCGCTGCTGGGGGAAGTCCTCCTTTCCTCCAGCCCTGCCACAGACTCATAGTCAGCTGTGGGCTCTGTAGCGCCTTCTGTACAGCATCTCGTCACCACAGAAGCCTCAGTCCCTAGCAGAGGTGGGAGACTGTGCTTCTGACCTGTCTGTGGATCCCACCCCTTGGTGATCCTGCCCTCTTTGGGGTGAGGGGCATGATGGGCCTGGGTCAGGGAAGGCTCAGGGCAGGGTGGGTGTGGTCCAGTTGGCGTGGCTCATGTGAGTGTCCAGACCAGGGCCTAGGGCAGGGGCCACCCAGGAGTCACTTTGCCTGGCCTTGGCAGAGTGCGTGGCATGGATTGGGCACATTGCAGAGTTTGCAGTCACTGGGGCCTCCTGGACCTCATGGGAGGAAGCTTCAGCTTGGAGATTCAGCTTGACTTGAACTTCCCCTTAACTGGGACTGAAGCTTACAGTTGTCAGAGCATCTGTGTCCACAGTGACCTTGGATCTTCACACTGACCCTTGCAGCTGGTCTGAGGCTGCCCTGCTGGTTTGTGGGGAGTCAGTGCTTGGCCCAGCTTTCTGTCTTTGGGTAGTGGTTTATACTGGACCATGCTGCCTGGGGCTCTCTCTGGGGCCTGGATACTTGTGGCTCTGAGAGATGATCAGGAGGAGTCCTGTCCTCTTAGTCTTCATGCCCCTGGTCAGAAAGAAAGGCTAAAATGTGGGCCAAGGCAATATGAGACATGTGAGCCTTTTGGGTGTGTGAATCTTCTGATCCCAGCTGACTAGATCACAGGACCTGGGACAGTCTACACATAGCTGACAAATGATTCTAAAATGTACCAATTTTAAACCACTGAAACCTATTCTCACACATCTCTGTGGATCAGGAATTCATGTGTGGCTTAACTGGGTACCTCTGGCCCAGGTTCCCCTTAAGGCCCCCAGCCAGTTGAAAAGTTGCAGTCACTCCAAGACTTACTCGGCATTGGAGACTTTGCTCTTCAGCTACTCACATGGTTGCTAGCATGCTTTGTCTGGGTCACAAGACCTCTTTGTAAGCTCCCTGCACGTTTTCACAGCATGGCAACTTGTGATCTAAGGCAGTGGGAGCAGGGGGTGAGTGGATGGGGAGGAACCAAATAGAAGCTGCCTAAACTTGAAGAGGTATCCCATCAGCTTTGCTGAGTTCTTCTTGTCAGGAGGCGCAGCCCACAGCTGATGGTCACGAGGACTGTCTCAGTCTGCCTACCATAGGCTGGCCTAGTAATTCTCACCCATACCAGTGTAAGATGCACTCAGCTATCCCTGCTCCTCAGAGTCTCGCCCTGTTGAAACATCGGCTCAGAGTGTAAAATCTCATCTCGATCAAGTCCAAGTGCGGTCCGGGTGCCTTGGGTGTGGTCCAGGCACCATGGGTATGGTTGAGTTGCTATGGATGTAGTTAAAGCCTCATGAGTGTGGTCCAGGTATGTCAGGGGCACCATGGGTGTGGTCTGGGTGCTGTAGATGTGGTTGAGGTGCTGAGGGTGTGGTCTGGGTGCTGCAGGTGTGGTCCAGGCACCATGTATAGCCGAAGTGCCATAGATGCACTCTAGACATCATGAGTGTGGCTCCCCAAGTGCAGTGTTTGCACTTCCTCTTATCTGTCGCCCTGTGAAACTTGACAGGTTGTCAGCTTCTGCATCCAGGACCCAGTGGAGACAGACCTGAGAGGGCTGCCATAGACGTCCTGTTCAGTAAGGGGCCAGTGGCTAGCTAAGAGAGCCACTGGCCATAGCCGTTCTGAACCCAGCTGGATGAGTGTGGGTGATCAGTGCGTAGCTGTTCTGGCCTCGTGCTCCCTCAGGGCCTCCCTGTTCATGAAAAGTAGTCCCTCCTTTCAGATAAATAGCTTTCTCAGTCTATTTCTGACAGTAGGATTTGGGGAATCCAGAAATTTATTTTTGTTTTGTGTTGTCCTGGTTCCTTTCAGTCCAGGCTGGTGATGTTTCTACATATATGTCTGTTAAGGATATTTTGGTATTTGAGAATATCTTTGTGGTATGTTGCGAACCGGCTTGGGCTTCAGTCTGTTGGACAGAAGCCGTTCCCACAGCTCTTTGAGCTAAACTGATCTGCTGAGTTTCCTGCTGAGATGATACTGATCAGCACCCACCCTCTGGTTCTGGAGGGCCTGCGCCTCTGGACCACAGCCGGGAGGCCAGTCCATCTCTTTGGGTCTAGAGGAACGTGCCATCATGTGCCTAGAGGTGTCACTGAGCACTGCTCTCAGGCACTGCCTTTGATCTAAACAGACGTCCCGGTCTTGCGTTTGGCTTCATCGTTAAGGCCATGCCATTTCTTAATGTTGGCATCATTTATATCTGGAGAGACGGAGCATTTTTAGAACTGCACATTCTCACTTTTTCTTGTTGAATAACGCTTTCTTCAGTGTACCTCTTTCCTCTCACCTTTGTCTTAAGCAACAAGGGCTGCACCTGGAGGCAGCTTACAGAGGGATGCAGCCGTGCAGGTGCATACACACAGGACACGCACAGGTACCCGTTGGTGCACCGTGTGCATGAATACATGTACAGATACAGATGTATTCCCTAAGGCTGACATCATCCTCATTGCAGGTCATCGTGGGGAGCATTTTTGAAGTGGTGTGGGCTGCCATCAAGCCAGGAACCTCCTTTGGGATCAGCGTGCTGCGGGCACTCCGGTTGCTGAGGATCTTCAAAGTCACAAAGTATGTCATCTGTGTACTTCTGGGAGGGAGGGAGGGGATGTGAGAGTAGCAACACAGGTCCAGGAATCAGGGTACCTGGAAGCTCTTTCTGTTGCTCATTGGTTTAACTGTAGGTGTTGGTTAAAAATAGCATGTGCTCAGGCACCATTCTAACAAATCTTGTTGGGGCCAGGTGTGTCCTCAGGGTCGCTCTCCATTGGCCCCAGTGTTGGTGGCTTGCTTCCTAGTTCTCTTATTATGTGGCTCCCCATAATTCCCCACCGTCCCCTCTCTTGAAACCAACAGTCCTGTCTTCCTAGCCTTCTAAGGGAACTTATTTTATAGTTGGTAGAGGAGTTCTCAGATGGAAGTCCTTTTGCTATCCTGCCCAGTAGTTTTTTTTGCTTGTTTTTGGTACCGGGGATCGAACTCAGGACCTTGCGCTTGCAAGGCAGGTGGCAGCATCACTGAGCTAAATCCCAAGCCCCTGTTACCTGCAGGTAGAGTGAGGCCTCAGCCCCTGACCTTGCCAGAGCCAGCCCAGTGCCCACATGGCTGCTGTTGCAGCCCCGCATCCTCCTGGCTGACTCTAAGCCTGCATGGTGACGACAGTGACAAGACTGTTTTCAGCCCAGTCTCACTGGAGTCTTTGACCCTGCAAGTGCTTGCTCCCTTTGCCTATGCGGAGATGAGGTTTAAGGAGGTGGTGTGATGCAGTTAGTGATGGGGACCTGAGCTCAGACCCTGCCCCTCACTGTCAGAACTGCATGGGGATGAGAGAAAGACCCACTCCACTGTGTCTTAGCAGTAGCAGAGACTGCTCAGCCTGTCTTACCGTGGCCAGGCTGCAGGACCGGCTTGTCCTGAGTTTTGGAGGATCTCTGAAGGGTGTCCTTGGCAGCTGAGCCTAGCATCTGGGGCCCCTGAGGTCCAGTGGTCTCAGCACTGAGCCCAAGCAGGACCTGGGCTCACAGGTGGCCTCTCCTGGTAGATTAATGTTCTGTTGGTCTTTTCATTTTAAATCCAAACCCCAAATCATCTGAAGGTACATGGAAGAATGAATGAAGAAAAGGTTGAGGCAGAGTTCAATTCAGTTTGATCCACAGATGTACGCTGAGCATTTTCTGGGGCCAGTCCTCAGGCCTCCACTGCTTTCTCCTTGCCGCTGATAGGTATAAAGGAAGTGACCACAGGGGGCACTTTTTTTTCTGCACCGGGAATCAAACTCAGGGCCTCATGCTTGCTGAGCAAGTGCTGTACCACTGAGCTACATCCCTGTGCCCCGCTTTTCCCCCTAGAACTGGGGATCGAACTCAGGACATTGCGGTCACCAGGCTGGCACAGAGCCACTGAGCTACATCTCCGGCCAGGGGCCACCTGTTTCTTAACCTCAGGCCTGTGTTCCCTGCCAGGAGGTTGGTGACCCTTGCTCTGAGGCAGGCTGGCTCCTGCCAACCCAGGAGAAGGCAGGATCCCTTTTCCAAGTCTTCTACTACTGCTTCCACCAACCCTCAGGCCCCTTGTAATAGGATATAGAGCACAGCTGGGCCTCTGATGTGGATGCTGCAGAGAAGGGTGCCACCTGGGCCCAGGGATCCCCAGTCGGACCACCGTCTGTCCCTCTACCCCTCTATTCCAGGGCTGTTGGACAGGATGTGCCAGGCACAAAGGCTAGGGGAATGTCTCCGGGGGAGCTGGGTAGCTCTGGATGTCTGGTCAGCGGGCTCCTGGGAAGAGTCCCCAGAGGCTGGGGACAGTGGTTGCAGCCATCACACAGCAGTGTGGCATCGGCAGACAGGAGGAGCCAGTGGCACTTTGGGGTGGGTAGAAGGGCGGGGCTTATGGATGCCAGGGAGATGGAATTGCGTGGTGCCACTTCCTGTGCCCGATGTCCTAGTCCTTAGTGAGAGGCGCGCTCCATCGCGGCATGTGGCAGACCTGAGCTGAGGGAAGCAGTCAGCCTCTCTGGTAGGCTGAGGACAGACAGTCTGCATTTCATGTGGTGCCGGGTCCTCTTGGTGGCTGATTGGGCACTAGGGAGTAGAGGAGGAGGGCTGAGGGTGAAGTCTGTGTCTGCCTACTGAAAGGGCAGTGGCATCATTCTGCCAGAGAGGATCAGGAGCAGGTTATGGAGTGTGAGGGTTAGTGCAGCGCTGCCTGCCTACCTGCTTTGTCTGTCGTCCCTTGGGCCTCAGGCTGAGCAGCCCTGGTGACGGGCATGGGACTCCAGAGAGACGCTCAGACACACGCATGCACGCATGCACGCACGCACACACGCACGTATGTCTTAGGCCTTGGAAGGCCACAGAGGTGGATGGCTGCAGAGAGTCTGGAGGAACATGGTTACATCTGGGCACAGCCCAGGGCTCCAACCACACTGCTGCCCGGCAGGTACTGGAACTCCCTGCGGAACCTGGTGGTGTCTCTGCTCAACTCCATGAAGTCCATCATCAGCCTCCTGTTCCTGCTCTTCTTGTTCATCGTGGTCTTTGCTCTGCTTGGGATGCAGCTCTTTGGGGGACAGTAAGTGGGTCGAGGTGGGGGAGGATAGGACCAGTCCCACTGGGGAGGCAGAGCTCACAGAAGATGGTGCCCCAGGCCTCTTTTCTGCCTTCCCTTCCTGAAGGCCCTTGAAGAGGCTGGTGATGCTGAGAAAGCCACCCACCTGCAGCCCGTGACAGCACATTGTCGCCAAGTGTAGTTCTTGCTTCTGGTGGGACTGCCTCTTCCCAAGGCTTCCTGTTTTTCCAGGTTCAACTTTAAAGATGAGACTCCAACAACCAACTTTGACACCTTTCCCGCTGCCATCCTCACTGTCTTCCAGGTGAGGGCCGTGTCTCCTTGGCTTTCCTCTCCCCTGCCAGCCCGTCCTTAGCTGCTCAGCACAACCCAGATACGCAGAACCTTCCACAAAGCAGATATGAGCCTGAGCCTGGACGGGGGAAGCTGGGTACGCTGATGATGCCCCGAGGAGTAGGTATAGCTCTCTGGGGACAAGGCTTCAAGCCACCGGGGCATTTCTTAGCCCCAGGCACCTGGAATCACTTGTCTTTTGTCCACTGGGAGCATTCAGCGTTCTCAACTTCTCCAGTAATGCGTAGGCCCAGTGGCGCCTCTGTTCTCTTTCGACTGAGAAACGTGCTCACCACAACACTGGGAGGCCCAGCTTGGGCCCCTTTTCTGCATGGTAGAGACCTTCTTGGCTCAGTAACCTCTGGCCTTTTGGATGGCCCCCTTCTAGGACTCTTGTGTAGGCACCGTCTCCTTTACAGGTGCTGCCAGGACTGGTCGTGCCGGTCGGGTAACGCTGTGTTCCTGTCCCATGGTGCCTATGTGGATGGTGGGGTTGGGTGGCTGTTGTTCTGCCCATGGAGCCCCTTAGGGAGGCCCCACAGGCTGCAGGTGCCCAGGTGTGAGGAGTGGCCTTTGCCTTCCACTCTCTCAGAGAGGGAGGGGTCTCTCCCACAGGCAGACTGGGCCAGACCAGGCGATTGGTCCCAGTGATGTTCACGACTGCCCCTTCTCACGTCTGCTCCCTCACGGCCCTCTTGCTGGGAGCCCTGCGTCCATCCACTTGGTCACGGGCACACAGAGCCAGCTCTCCCAGGTGAATGTCTCCGCCGGCCTGTGAGGACCTGGGGCTGTGCCTGGCCCTCCTTCCTCTCTGCCTCACCCTCCGGCAACGCTGCCTCTTCCCTCCTCCTTGGTTCCCTAAGTGCAGGCAGCCCCTTTCAGCTCACTGTTCTCCCTTCTCTCACTGAGGCGTGGGCTGCTCTGTGTTGCTCACAGGCTAATGACCTCCAGAATCCAGGGCTTCAGTGGAGACAAAGTAGGGTGGCACCGACCACAGGCTGTCCTGAGGAGTGTGGTCCACCTGGGATGGGAAGGGCTCTTCTTCATGGGGGCGGGATCAGGCTGCCCAGGCAACAAACAGGCCAGGGAATTAGGAGGAGCACGATGTATGGTATGGCCACAGGTGGCTCCAGGCTCTGGGCCAGGTCGGGAGGGCTGTGTAGGCCCGGTGAATAGGCCTTGCCCACAGCAGTCAGAGGAGACTTCAGGGTGGGGGGCTGACAGGCTGGCAGTTAGATGGTGCTTTCTGTGTCTGTTGCCAGCAGAGGTCTGAGCCACAGTCATGAGGAAAGGTGCCCTTCCCTCAGAGGGCCCTGTGACCAGGCCTTCCTAAAAGGAGCAGAGTCCGTAGATGGTAGAGAGGGCAGAGGCACAGACACTGGACTGTATCTGGCAAGAGGCCGGTGGGCTGGGCATGGGAGACCCACAACCTCAGAGGAGTATGAATGTGGCTTGGCCACTCTAAGCTCTGGGGAAGACGCCAGGCCCTTCTGCCGAGGACAGAGAGGGAGAGCTGGAGGCTGCCAGAAAGACGGCAGGACCAGGACAGCACTGGGCCAGGGCAGGCCATTATCTCCACAGGGGGCCCCTAGACCAGAGGCCTGAGCTGGACCAGGAAGGGAGTCCCCGCTTCTGAAGTGGGCCAGGCACTGTGACAGAGAGGACGAGAGAGGAGGGAGAAAAACATCCGCTTTGTGCAAGGTGACCTACGAACAAAAACTTTGCTAAACACTGACGCCCTAGGAGAGGACCAGCAGCACCCGTGGTCAGAAGGTGAAGTTATTCCGGAGAAAAAGGATGGCAGAACAAGGGCAGGGACTGTGAGCTGAGTATGCATGTGGTCCTCCAAGAGGCAAAGGAAGAGCCACGCAAACCCCAAATTGTGGGAAAAGACAAAGAATAGGTTCAACCGAAAAGGAACTGAGCAGAAATCCTGGAAGTGAAAAATACAGCTATTCAACTTAAAGAAAAAGATGGACTACACCCTGGACGTGATCCTAGGGAGGGAGGAACCACAGTTGGAATATGTGAAGAGCCCAGCACACGGCAGTATGGAGAGAGGATCGGATGTCGGGGATGGACGGGGCGGGAGCTTCAGGAGTGGGGTAGGGCTGGGGCTCAGTGGTAGAGCTCTTGCCTAGCATGAATGAGGCCTTGCCTTAGATCCAAAGGACCGAAAAGGGAGAGAGGGGAAGAGGGAGAGGGAGGGAGCGAGCAAGAGGGACCCCCCAGTGTCCTTGCAGAGGCCAAGCAAGGGTAACAGAGTAAGTCCAGACTAGCAGCACTGTGGCAAAGTGAAGACTCTAAAAGCTCTATAAAAGAAAGATCTATAAAAGAAGGACATCTAGTCTGATAGCAGACTTCTCGTGAACAATAGATGGCAGAAGGTAATGGAAGTATTGGAGTCCAGTCTCAGCCTGCTGAGTCCAGAGAACTACGGTTCCAAGTGAGGGGAGGACAGACACTTCACATAACCCCGCCCCAGCCAGTGAAAGCACTGTGAACACTTACACAGTTAAGCGTATAATTTAAAAGAAAAGTACATGACTCCAAGAAGAAATGACCACTTCAGAAGTTGAGTAACTAATAATTCCTACCCAAGCTAACAAGTCCAGACAGTTTGAAAAGTGAATTCTGCTATATATTTAAGAAGGTATTCCAGTTTTCTACAGACTACTCGCTCGAGTAACTTGGGCATGGAAAACTGAATGAGAACAAGATCAGAAAAGAGAAATGCAGATGGCTGTCACAGGCAAAGATGAAGGGGTCCAGAGGTAAAACCAGGAATCAAGTCCAGATATGGTCAGCAGCTGTCTGTGTAATGAATTCTACAGCGCTTCGCAGAATGTAAGATCAGAAATTTAGCTCATCCCGTTGCCAGATTGTGGAAGAAAACTCCAAGAAAAGCAGAGTACCATGAGCCTGGCAGCCTGGCAGTTGCCGAAGCTGGTGAGGAACGTGTGGGTTCATTATGTGCTCTGCTTTGTGCGTCTTTAACATGCCTGGAAATTTTTTTTTTCTAAAGAAAAAAACCAACACTCCTTCCAAATAAAAACTGGTAGCAGATCACATTAGTGTAAGTGGTCTTAGTACTGTAGAATAAGGAAAAACGAAATCAAGATTTTCAGAATGAAGAAGAAAAAAAAAATCACCGTTCACAAGTGCATTATGTGTGCACACAGAAAACTCAAGTGCTGTCATTGCAGACGGTGGGGACAATTTGGTATCTGTGAAGAAAAACACGAAACTGGATTCCTACCTTACATCAGTATTGAAATTGATTCTCATTGGATTAAGTCCTAAATTGAAGGAAACCTAAAATCTTAGCACACACACACGAGGCCATTGTTATTAACTCCAGATAGGGAAGATTATTTTAAAGAAGATGAAGATGCAAACCATAAAGGAAATGAGGAAGGAATTTGATTCCATTAAAATTTCTGTGTATCAGCAGACACCATTAAAAGATAATGGAAACACCCAGAGTCGGGGAGGACATTTCCAGTGTCAGCAATTAACCAAGAAGGAATTAGCTGATAGAATGTATGGGAAACTTTCACATTTCAGAAGGACAAGACAGATAATGTAGTAGGAAAGGCTAAAGATATAAGCAAGTAACTCAGTGCCATAGTGGCACGAGGGTGTGAGGAGACTTTCCCGCCTGCTCCGGTGGGGTAGGGTGTGACTGGCACAACCACCTTGGGAAACACCTGCAAGTCAAAGGTGTGAATGGCCTACTGCCCCGCAGTCTGTGAGAGAGACTTCTGACAGGTGCAGAGGAGAGACAACGGCGAAAACCTGACAGTGCCGTCAGGATGAAAAGTGGATGAATAAAGGGAGGAAAGCTCTGTTGATACTTGTACGAGTGAGCAGGTTTATGTGTTTTGACACGTGAACTTCAAAGTGGAGTCCAGAGTGAGAACATCAGGTGGAGGAACAGCGTGTGGCTGATGCCTTCCTGTGCATGCCGCGCACACAGCTGCTCTGTGAACAATGTGTGTGGCCTGCTGCAGGATTGCGGATCTGTGATTGCGGCTCCCCATGGCGATGGTTGTGGGCAACAGGAGCCATGCAGTTGTGACAAAATGTTAAGTCTCTACTTTGGTGGACAGGTGTTATCCCCTGTACTTTTGTATATAACCAGGCTGTGAGGATGAAGCCACAAGGCCTGGTGGCAGGGCCTGGGAGAGTGAAGGCCATCATGTGTCCCTTAGCAGCTCGTGCTCCTCTCTGCCCTCAACTCCTTTCACAGCAATAGCATTGCCTCCTTGCTGGCCTTGCTCACCTCTCTTGGAGCTTCCCAATTTTGCTGAAAACCTAGAGTACATTGTCTCTTAACCTGACCCAGGTCGGTATGTGTCCCAAATGTGCTTTCGGACATTTTTCTGCAAGATCCTAGGCTGCCTAGACCTTTGGAACCACCTTCATCTAAAGACCCTTGAGTGTGCCCTAATGTGGTATGCCCCGATCTGCCCCTGGGTGTGTGCACATGCACTGTGTGCAGTGCGTGCAGGTGTGCCCTGTGGTGTTCTCCTGCAGATCCTGACAGGAGAGGACTGGAATGCAGTGATGTATCATGGGATCGAATCGCAAGGTGGGGTCAGCAAAGGCATGTTCTCCTCCTTTTACTTCATCGTCCTGACGCTGTTTGGAAACTGTATCCTTCTGGGGAGCTGGGGTGGAGGTGGTCCACCTCCATTTTTCCTCCCATTCCCCTGCCCTCCATTCAACCCCTGCACCCCCCCCCCCACTTACAAAGACTTTGTGCCCCACTTCAACAGGACACTTCTTATGGCTACCCCTTGGCTCCCTCAGGAGGACAAGGAAGGGGAGGGACTTGTCAGTTGTATGTTCTTAGAGCTAAATGCAGATGCAAGGTCCCCAAGGTTAGCCCAAGTGACAGATCTAGAGGCAGTACACATGGCAGATGTTGGCTTAGGAAACACTCTAGCAGCCTTCTGGGGCCCACAAAAAGGTGGGAAACTTGGAAGGCCAAAGGCAGCAGGGCTTCCTACCCTTCTGATTTGATAGAATTTTGGCACCCTGCTGTCAGAAATCTCCTCCTGCTGAAAACCACCCCTGGCAGAGAGATGCGGAAAGACTCCCATGGAGGGCTGCGGAGGGCTTTGTCTACAGCCTGGTGCTGGAGGACCATGTGCAGGGCCAGGCACACACAGCAGCTGGCAGTGAGCTCTGCTTCATGCAGAGGCCATGTGGGAATGTGTTGGGGCCCAGGAGAATCCAGAAGACGGAATCCACAGGGTTCGTGATGCAGGGTAGGGTTCAGCCAGGAGAGCCAGATGCAAAGGTGGTTGCTACAAACGCATGTAGGAATGCAGGCCCAGGAGGCCACTCTGGGGGTGTAGCTCTGTGTCAGATCTGGCAGGACCTCGGAGTATGCCTTCTACCAGGCTCCCAGGGGCTACTGTGCTGCTAGGCTGGGTCCTCTGTGCGGAGAACTTCTGTGGTAGAACCTCCTAAAGCACCTCAGAAAGACCTGAGCTGGGATAAATGTCTTGTGAGTTGTCGCAGCCAACCTGCCTGCTCCGAGCATCTCTCTCCTTCTTGTGTACTCCTCACCTCATCTCTCTCACTGTCCTGGTGACCACCTATCCCTCCAACTTTGCTCCTCCTGTTTCTGTCTCTTGCTTTCTCTCTCCTGACTCCCTGTCTTACCCCACCAGGAACTCCTGCCTCTGCAAAGGCGTCCTGTAGGTGACAGCTCAGGTCCTGGGCCCCAGGATGGGGGTCTGGCCTCACATGACTGAGTGTGAGGACTCAGAAGGGGCTGGAACTTGGGGGACAGCATTTGCTTTGGAGATGTGTGAGCCTGGGCCAGTGCAGGCCGCTGTGGTTGGCAGAGGGAGGCGGCTGCAGTGTTAGCCTCAGCAGGGGACGGTGGTGTCCAGGAGATACTGCTGTCCCGGAAAAGTAGTGGCTTGCCTCAGTAGGATCCCAGCACTCAGGCCAGACATGTCACCTGCCATGTGTCCATTCCCAGTCCAGTCAGGGTGGCTTCTGCTACACTTGTGTGTCCCTTTGGCTGGGCTCCTAGGGCATAGCCCTTAGTCCTCGGCATGGAAGGGCCTCTGAGCAGTCCATGGTTGTGCCTAGCATTCTGAACATTGCTTCATTGGAGATCAAGCTCTTCATACATGAGACATTTTTGGTTGTTAGGACTGGGACTACAAGCATCAAGTAGGTCGGGGGTGCTGTTCCACGTCCTGCCATGCCTGTCCAGCCCAGTGTGCCAGTTGTGCCAAGGTTGAGACCCCTGAAATGATGAGATGACCTAGGAGGGCAGGCCTTGTGGCTGTAGTCTGGTGGGACCAGTGGTGGTCACAGTAGGGAGGGCTGCTGTCAGCATAGGGGACGGTCCTACAGAAATACTCAGCAGAGCGATGAGCTCTGGCCAGAGGCAGCACCCCGTGATGGGAGGAAGATGCCTTTTGCAAGACACTTTGGTGACTCGAGATAAGAAGAGTGAGGGCCTTCCCTGGAGAGATTTGCAGAGGACCTGTGCTGTGCTGGGACCTGGGGCAGGTCATTTACTTTTGTGCTTTGGCTTCCTTGTTGCTGACTGACGGGGGTAGTGGCAGCCTCTTGCCTCGGGGTTCCTGGGGTCAGGTCAGGGTAAATACAATGCTGGGTGTTTGGGCTGCTCTATACCTTCTAGCACTGGTATTGTTCAGGAGAGCTCCTCGAGGGAGGGGCGCCCAAGAGTCCTTGTAGGAATTTGATGTGAAAGGAAAGGGGAAGATGAGACTGGAAGGCATCTGGGAACCACCTAGGACGGGAGCAGGGTAGTCACTGTGGTCTGGGTCGGCATAGGTAGGTTTGTGTACTGACTGTCTGCCTGGGGAGGTGTTGGAGCCCCAGCCAGAGCCTGTGAAAACAGATATTTGTTGCAAGGCTTTTCATGCTGACCAGAAAATGGGAGAGGTAAGGACAGGCAGGCAGAACCTGTGCTCTCTAAAGACAGATTGACCCAACACAACCTTGATGTCAGCCCTGAAGAGCTAGATGGGGAAAGGTCCATGTGGCTCTTAGGGGAGATTGGGTGGTATGAAACTGAACAGAGGAGGGGATAGATGGGGCTTGGGGGGGGGAGAGAGAGAGAGAGCTGGGGCTTGGTTAGGGGGGTATCTGGGGACAGCAGGGGTCTGAGGGGCTGGTGGTGCCAAGGGAAGCAGGCTGGAGTAGCGTTGTGATCTGGGGAAATGGGAGCCCTGGGGGATGTGACTCTGTGGGATGGTTTTGGAGCTGAGGGCTTCCTTCCTTAACTGGAGCCAACCAGATACCCTGCTGAATGTCTTCCTGGCCATAGCTGTGGACAACCTTGCCAACGCCCAGGAACTGACCAAGGTAGGTAGGGATGCCACTTGCAGCCTGGGTGTCAGGAGAGGATGGGAGTTAGTTCAGGTCACTCTGGATGAGGCTGCAAAGTCATGGGGGAGGTTCTGGTTATGGCTCCATGTAACTGTTGTTCAAGGAGTGTCTTGCGGTCTGAGCAGTTGGAAGTTAGTCTGGGCTCATGTTTTAGCTGTGGGAACGTGGGCTAAGAAGGCAGACTAACGGACAGGTTCCCAGAGCAGCTGTGGCCTGGGGAGAAGGCTGGACAGGAAGGAGGGGTTCAGACTGGGGAGGGCTGTCCCAGCCTCAGGAGTGAAGGCCACAAGATGCTCCCATCAGAGCAAGCGTGTGGTGTCAGGGAAGGATCCCCTAAAGATGAGGTGTGTGAGGTGGGCCCTCGGGAAGGTCCTGCTCTGGAGACCCTAAAGGGCAGTGAGGGGACACCTGCAGTGCTGCCTCAGATTCTGGGCATGGCTGGAGCCTGGAAGAGCAGCTGGTACTCTGTCTCAGCGCATCTGTGCCACAGCAGGATGGCCTCTCCAGGCAGTGCCCAGCAGGTGCCATTCAGTATTTGTCTCTCCTCCTAGAGCCCAGTGGGGGATGTGATTACACGTTTCCCTCTGTGGTTTCCCTTCAGTTGACATGGCCCCCTACCTGGTCATCCTTGCCTCACGGCCTTGGACACCGCGGTGGCTGGCCACCCAGGGTAGCCTCAGGCCTGTGCTGTGGTTCTGCAGTACCACTGGCCTGCCTGTTGCTGTCATTAACTTGGGGCAAGGCTTAGTCTTATTGTCTCAGTGTTCCAGGCCCTGGGCTGCCTTGGCTGGGGAATCCATGTATCTGTGTATCCATAGATGTCAGGTTTTCTGGGACCACATGAACTTGAGGTGCTTGGCAGCATTGATGATCAGATAATCAGTTGTCCCAGGGCAAGGTGAGCTTGAGTTCCAACCCTCCCAGTATTTTCAAGCTCTCCTGTGGGTGAGGATGTGCAGTGGAAGCGATTTCCTCAAGGACCTGGCCACATATACCTTCTGTGATTGGCTCTGACTTAGGGATTCCTCCACCTTGCAAGTGGGACTAATGGAGGCCTGTCTCTCTGGCCATCGAGCTTGCTCAGCTGACCAAGAACCCCAGAGTGTAGGGCATGACCTTTCCCTTCCTTTATAGTGGTACCTCAGTTCGCGAACTTAATTTGTTGTATGATTTTGGAAAAGATGGCCATGTTTATGTTTGTGTGGAAAAGATGGCCATGGTTGTGTTTGTCACCTGATGAAGAGTTTGCAAACAAAAACAAAATTTTGCCAAACATTTCTGTTTGCAAACCAAATTGTTTGTAAACAAAAGCATTCGTGAACAGAGGTACCACTGTATTTCCATAAATACAGTATTCTTTATTTTGTGAAGTGGGAATAAACTTAAGTTGACTCCTTTGTAGACCTTTTAGGTGACTCTAGAATAGTCCTTGAAGTGATTAGGGTGCCCATGCCCTAGAGGGCTGTTAACCAGGAGTGGTTCTAGGCCTTTGAGGAGGGCCTTGCTGGGAGTGGTCTGTGTAGACTAGCTTTGTCTTCTTGCTGGGCCTAAAACCTGAGGATCTCTTCTCTATGACAGAACTTTTCAGAAAGCTATCAGGGGATTTAATTTTTGCCATTATTGTGCCTCTAAGAGCAGATTCATGGATATTTTGGGGGGATGTTAGGAATGCCAGTTTCCAGGGAAACCAGGTAGGCCTGGGCTTGGGGGTTTTGTGGAAGCCGTCATGGTCCCAGCAGTTCAGATGGCCCCTTTTAGGCCATGAACTCAACCCAGAGCTGCTGATCCAGAGCCCAGAAGTACAGCATGTTGGTTATGACTTGGGGTCAGAGTCAGACAGTCTGTCCAGATGTCCATTCTTCCCAGGCAGAAGGCAGAGGTGCCTGCACACACATAAGCATATGTCCATCCCTGGGGGCAGAGAGCCATGTGGAGCTTTACAGCCATAGCTGGGGTTGGTTGGAAAGGTGTGATCTCATGAGTCCAGGCAGAAAATCCCAAAGATTGTGTGTTCCCCCACTGGAGTGCTCCTGGTAAAAGCCCTGGGGACAGTGTTGGGCAGAACCAGCCCTCCCTCCTAGCTCTGTAGGGAAGTCAGCATTGCTCAAGTAGGACAAGTACTCCTGGGGGAGGCAGGTGGGATGAAAGGAGGGGCAGATTTATATTTTACCATTAAGTCTGAACTGCATGGTATAGACAGGTAGAAACATCAGGTTAATTAATAGCTTGGTACCTGAGGCAGAAGCTTAGGGATGAAGTCAAGGTGCAAGCACAGATGTGGGTCACTAGCTTGTGAGCATCTGGAAGATGACATAGTGGAGAAGATATGAAGCAGGAACTTTAGTAGTGAACTTTCTCATTGCTGAGGCACGATATGTGACACCCACAAATTAAAGGAGGAGAGGTTTAATTTGGGTCATGCTTTTAGGAGATTTCGTCCATGCTCGGCTGGTGATGCAGAAACATGGCAGAAGGGCATGGTAGACAAAGATGCTTAGTTCATTGCAGCTTGGAAGCAGACAAGGGGAACAGCACCTGAGGCCATACTTAGCACTCAAGGTTGCATCTCCATAACCCACCCAGACATACTTGGAAGTGTGCTTTACTAATCCCCTCGGCTTTTTACACTTGATTTTAGCCAAAAGGCCAAGAAGCGATCCCCCAGGCCTTTCAATCCAATGAAAATGACATATGTCATGATTGATGGTTACAATCCATCCCTTGTCAACTTGATACTCAAACATAGCTCCTTAAAATATACTTAAATGCCAAATGAGCACAGTAGTAATAAGTTAATAATTCCACCTAATATTTTATAGTTATCTTAGTGATAAATGAAAATATAATAATCTCTTCCCCAAAATCTCAGCAGTCTCTGCATAATTCAAAAGTCCAAGTCCAAGTTTCTTCTGAGACTAAAGGCACACTCTTAGTTGTGAGCCTCTGCTTAAAAACAAAAAACCACTTTACATAATTCTAAAGTATAGTGGCCCAGGGTAAACATTCCTATTCCAAAAGGAGGAATAGAGAGAAAAGAATTGGACCAAAGCAAGACCAAAACCCATCAGGGCAAACATTAAGTCCTGTAGCATCATGCCTGTCATCTAGGACACATGGTAATGAGATGTGATTTTCACAGCCTTATCCCTACCCCCGTGACCTTGCTTGTTGCAGCCCACATGTCTTCTTTCTTGGGCTAGCTCCTGACTTTCTGAGGTCTCCACTACATCTTTTGCTTTATTCCCACAGCTCCAAGTACCTATCTCTCAGGAGTACCTTGCCTGGCCCCCCAGGCCTTCCTTTGAAATCTGGGTGGAAGACTCTCTGACTCACACAGCCCTGCATTCTGTATGCCAGTAAAACCAGCATCATGTAGACAATGCCAAGATCTTCCACCAGTGCAGGCAGTGCCTGGATGGCTGCGCATGACGAAATGAATCCAGGGAACCAGTTCCTCAGGCGGCCCTTCTTGAGTAAGGGACCCAGGGGCTTCACAGATGAGTGTATTATTATACTCTCGCACATTTGAACCTCTGATGGGTTGAGTCTTGATGATTCCTGAGATGCCCTCAAGGTATCTTTCTTATTGTCCCTGTACAAAGTATCTGGTTTCTTTTTTTTTTTTTTTTTTTTTTGGTACTGGGGATCGAACTCAGGTCCTTGTGCTGGTACAGCAGGCAGTGAAACCACTGAGCTAAATCCCGGCCCTGGTTTCTTTTTAGTTTATTTTGTTTTGTTCTGTTTTTTTGGTACCGGGGATTGAACTTGGGATCTTGCACTTGCAAGGCAGGTGATAGAATCACTGAGCTAAATTCCCTGCCCTGGTTTCTTTTTAATCATACTAATCTCTTCAGTAACCACACTATCTTTGGTCTCAACTTTGCAAGTGGTTCCTGTTGAGCTAAAAGTTAAGCTTTTCAAATTTTTGTGGTTTGCTTTTTGCTCCTAATCCTCACTATAAATCTGGCTAAAAGTAGCCAGCAGTACCCACACCACAGCCTGAATGTTGGGCTGCTTTAAATTTCTTACATCAGATCATTAAGTCCACTGCCCTTTATCTCAGTCTCAGGCAGTCTTGAGATATGGGCAAAATGTAAACAGTTTTTTTGTTGTTGTTTTTTGTTTTTTTGCCAGAGTGTAACATGTGTGGTCTCTAGTCCAATTGCAAATGAAGTCTTGTTCCCAACTGAAACCTCCTGAATCTGGCCTTTACTGTGTCACATCCCTGTTGACGTTCTGGTCTTCGGAGCTCTGATGAGAATTATCCATCAGGCTCTCCTTGCAGCATTCTAGAAATTCTCTAGCTCATGCCTCTAAACTTTTCAAACTGCTCCTACAGACTAGTTCCAAAGACTTCAGAACCTCATAGGAATAGTCACAGGAATGACCCCACTTCTCTGGTACCAATTTTCTGTATTAACTTCCTTACTGCTGAGACATAATACCTTACACCCACAATTTAGAGGAGAGGTTTAATTTGGCCTATAATTTAGGGTATTCAGTCCACATTGGCTGACTTCAAGACAGAGCAAAGATATTTAGTTCATGGTGGTCAGGAAGCAGAGCAGGGGAACAGTGCCTGAGAAAGGAGCCAGGAACCACGTGTCACACCTTCACACCAAGGTCACACCTTATGACCTACCTAGACATACCCAGAAGTGTGCTTTACTAATCCCTATGGATTAATAATTTTTAATCCAATAAAGTTGACATCACAATTAATGGTCACACTTTGGAACCATCACTCTTGAGCCACAGTCATAGGACAGGAGCCCTTATAGGTACCAGAGAGGGTTGGTCTGGTGGGTCATAGGGAATCCATATCCGCATGGTAGCTGGCTGCCTGGCTTCATGGTACAGAGGGAAGGAGGGGCACAGAGACCCTCGGAGCAAGAGCTGACAGGATGCAGTGGTCCTAGCACTCTGAAGGGACAGCTGTTTCTGTATTTCAAACAGGATGAAGAGGAGATGGAAGAAGCAGCCAATCAGAAGCTTGCCCTGCAGAAAGCCAAAGAAGTTGCTGAAGTCAGCCCCATGTCTGCCGCCAACATCTCCATTGCTGCGTAAGGTTCCTAGGAGCAGATCATGGGTGGTATGGGACAGTAGCAGAGTCCATGGCCAGGCCAAACCCGGACCCCACTCCAGAGACTTCTTCAGAGCTCTCCTTGCCTTGATGAGGGTTTATAAGGACATAGTCCTCCCCAGAGCAGGGTCTAGAGGAGCCCTAGGGCTCAACCCATTAAAGCAGTGCAGGTTCCTCTCACGCTGAGCTCGGCAGGATGCCTTCACATTCAAGGTGGGATTGGCTGTGCTGCAATATTTGCTCACTGGATGGTCTTGGAGGCTCTAGGGCCCTCCCCAGACAGAGCTTGGGAGTCAGTTCGGGGTGAGGAGTCAGCATGTTGCTCGTATGTATAGATTTTCAGAAAGATGTTTGGCAAGCCAAGGGGTTCTATGTGGAACCTCAGCAGTTCAAGAGACTCCACGGAGCTTCCAAACGTGTCCCTGAGAATGTTTTGTTTTGGAACAGAGGTCAAGGAGCTTCTGAGGTGAGAAGGGTGAATGTGGGGGTAAGGCTGAGTGCTGGAGGGAGTTGGTCACCTCATTAGGAGGGTTGAGGACTTTAGAGTTTGGGCCAAAGGCAGCAGTGGGCTGTGGGGAGGCAGCTCCAAGAAGGGAAGCAGGAAAGCTGGAAAGCTGGCTGGGCTTGGTTGTAGGATAATGGTAGAGCACTGTTGCTCACTCTGAACTCCTGAGCGGATGTGTTAGCACGCGGATGAGCATGCTGGGTATGAGTGCATGTATGAGTTGCTTGGTCATGAACATGTGAGTGCATGTCTGTGTGAAAGCTGCCAGTGCATGAGAGTGCTCTCGTGGCCTTGTTCTTGCCCTGAAGCTTCTGTGGAGATGGCATTTGCAGAGGACTGGTCTCCAAGCCAAGTAGAAAGCTCTGGCCACAGGAGAGATTCAGCGGGAAGAGGCTGCAGCCCTCAGGGACCGTTGCAGGGAGCTAGGCAAGCTGTGGACATGGCAGCCTTGCTGCCAAGAGGCTCTGTGATCAGTTGTATTCTGTTCTCCTTGTCTGGCCAATTCAGCTACTTAGTCCTTTGGTCAGTTTAATGCAGTACCTTGGTCCTGAGGTTGTTGTGGCCCAGCTGCCTTGCCTCCTGTGCTCCTCCACGTGAGTTCTGCACGGTAGTGGGGTCTGTGGGGGAGAGATACTAAGCAGGTGTTTGGCTCACTCAGCTCCTGGCCCACGTGGCCTGTGGTATGTCTGTTCAGCACCTTTCCACTGTTCCTGGGGTGAGTGCTTGTCCTGGGCCCCTTCAGAGTGGTCAGTCCTGGAAGTGTGAGGAGCTTATCCACTCCCGTCTGGGCCAGGACCTTGGAGAAGAGGGTGCAGTGCCCTCAGCACAGCCCTGAAGAGCACATAATGGCACCAAAAAGGAAGTCCAGACACTTTCTCCACCACCCTTGGGCCTATTGGAGGCACAGAGCACCCTGGGCACAAGGGACATGACACCAGCTGTTGGCCTGAGTACCACAGTAGTTTCTGGATGGGAAAAATGCTTCTGTCCTGGGCATCCACAGGTGTTCTGCCTCACCAAGTCCTGAGAGCGGTGTCTACTCCAAAGCCAGGTCACAGCCCCACACTCAGCCTGTGTCCCCCCCCAGGGCTGGCTGTGGGTCCTGTGAGCCCAGGTCAGTGCTGCTGCCTGAGTGGTATGTAGTCAGAACCCTGACACCACAGGAGACCTGGGATGACTAGAGAGGCCTCCTGGAGTGCGGAAGGAGCCCGCATTGGGAAAGGCCTGTCCTGCCGTGTGTGGCTGCTGGTGTGAGACTGCATCTGCTTCTGTTTCTTGCCTGTCATGCTGAGACTGCTGAGGGTCGAGATGTCTGTGTTCATTTCTGCAGATTGAGCTGTGGATCTGGGGAGAGAGCCTGGCCCCTAAGCAGGTCGTCCTGACCCTGCTCGAAGCTGCGTGTGTAGCTTGTGCTCAGTGGGGATGGGTGGGGGTGGCACCTGAGGTGTTAAGAGGCCTGCAGCTCCGGAGGCAGGTGATGGACGTGCAGACCCCCAGAGGATGGTCAGCCCTGTGTTGGTGGCCCAGGAGGCAGCCCCTCAGGCTCCTAGGAGAGGAGGGATGCTGGGCTTGATGTCCCCCTCCTGGTTCCCTGTGTGGTGGCACCCCAGCGCTCCCCTGGGCTTCTGTGCACTGGTGCACACACACACCATCTAACACCCTCGTACTCTCACGCATCTCACTCGTGCACAGTCACACACACTCGTGTTCACACACTCGCAGTCTCACACATTCATACATAATGGTAATCCCCACCCACTCTCAACTCTCCAACACATGTCCTTCCACACCAGCCCTTTGGGTAAGTGTTCTGTCTGCTCCTTACAATTGTGTAGCGACTTCAACCCTGAGGAAGAAGCACCTTCCTCCCCAGGCTTCCTGGGGAGCCAGTGTGAGGGGTAATGGCTGTAAAGAGGCTTCTGGTTTTTCTTTGTTGGAAAAGCTGCTGCACAGTCACTGGGAAGAGGCTGGTATCTTAGTCAAGTGGAAGATGAGTTGGTGACTGGTGTCTTTTGCCCCTAGAGGGGTCATGGCGAATTGGAAGCAGCTGGATTTGAGCCTGGGGGCTGAGGGGCTGGAGTGGAGTCGAGATCAGATGCTCAGGGGAGGCAGATGGGCCAGCTGTATGCAGGGGAGGATGCTGTTGGCTCCCACACTTGGCTGGCCATTCATCTTGAAGGCCAGGAGCCCACTCAGTCACCTGCCAAGTCCTGCAGCAGAGGGAGGGGGGCTGTTTGGATTGTAGGAGTGGCTCTGATCTTTCCAAACCCAGTGCCATTCTTGCAGCAGTGTGGCCTGAGTCACTATTGACCCATGGGCCTTGCAGATGACTGCTTCTCGTCTTTTAGCCATTCAGGATTTGCCATGTTCACGTTCGCTTCTTTTCTGCACATGTCGAATTGGTCCTCAACTTCTGTCTTACCCCAAGGTCTTGGCAAGCACCCCTCTAATGCTGCCTCTCACCTCCTGCCCAGAAGTGCACCGCAGCCTGTGCCTCTCAGAACTCTCTCGGTTTTCTCACTTCTGTTTGTGTTTTATTTCTTGCATGTGCAGCTTTGTAAAGCAAACTCGAGGTACTGTATCTCGCAGCTCATCTGTCTCCAGCGTAAATTCACCGTGAGTCGCTCCGCTATGATACTCCATCCGTGGCTCCATGATTAGTACACATACCTGCCCTCCACTCCTCACTCTGCTTTCCCACCTCAGTCATTGGCTTCATGGGCAGCTCCAGGCCCACCTTTGGACACCTGGCTGGGAATAGTGGGCATGCTCCCTGACATCCCCTCTCTGAGCTCAGCCCGTCCTCCTCTTCCTCCTGGTCTCTGGCTCTTTGTCTGCTGTCAGTCTGTGCAGTTGCTCTGGTGGCCCAGGATCACCTGCTTCTCTGAGTGGATGAGATGCTACAGCTCAGTGAGGCCGGGGCCTGTGCAGAGATGGCAGGGAGAATTCTTGGGGGCTCACAGGGGCATTCACAGTTTCCCCCAGCTCTTCCGCTTGGAGGGAATGTATCAGTGGTTCTTGGGAAAGTCTGTTTTAGCACAAGTAGAGCTCACTGTGGAGCTCATGGTATATGGGTCAGATGGAGCCATAGGAATTCTGGGCTGGTCCTTCTGGAGGTGAGACCAGCCTAGTAGGCTGACCATTCCCTGGGCAGCTTCTCCTGCAGGATACTTCTGGGTGGCTTGTCCTCTAGGATTTCCCCTTGAGAGTGAAGCTAGACCTGGCCAGTAACGGTCCCTGAAGTAGTTGAGTGCAGTTGGGCCACCTGAATGCCATGGCCAGGCGCCCTCCCTGCATCCTGGTGGTGGTGATTATGCCATCCCTCCCATGTGCCTCCGTGGCAGCCAGCGTAGTGCTGGGCTCAGTCTTTCCACAAGGACTGGTTACTGCTGGCTGTTGGGGCCCTGATGTCTCCTGGAGTAGGAAAGAGTGGTTGATCCATGTAGTGAACAAGATGCGGATGTGGCATGGACCATTTCTCCCAGGGCTGCCTCATATGCCAGCAGCTATGGGTGGCCGGCTGTCTCAGCCCGGAGACACTCAAGGCTCTTTTCTGTGGTTATCCGCAGTGCCCGGTTGGATGTGGCAAGCTGTCCTCCCTGGCACAGCCAGGTTGCTCCTCCACGATGGGCCAGGACATCGCGAGAGGAACTTCTCTGTGATTCCTTAATGAGCCCTTCTAAGTAAGAACTTCCTAGACTGGAGTTGCCAGCCATACTACACTGGAGGCTGGAGAGGCTCAACTCATTCTTGGGTTCTTGCATTGCTTGCGAGCTCGGTGAGGAAGAATAGAGTGAAAGACTTACGCTGGGCAGAGGTTAGTGGGGTTTGTGTGCCAGACAAAGCAAGGCCAGAGGTAGCAACTAGGGCAGGGGAGGATGACTTTGATACCTACAAGGAGGTGAGACCCACTGTGAAGATTCAGACTTGGGATCCGTGCAGAGGAGCCAGTGGTGCAGCTTGGCTGGGGCAGATTTGTGGCAGGGGGACCCATGGGAATGGGCTGGGTGGGCAGGTGGTCTTTGCCCAGTTGGTCAGTGCCCTGGGCTGCCTGGTAGTCATGAGAGGGCCCAGCCAGCCCCATGGTGCCCTTAGCCTCACAGACGCTCTGGTGTCTTCAGCTGCACTTGAGGTGATTCCTGCACAGGAGAGGGAGGGGAGAGCCATGCGGCCTGACCTTCGGCTTCTGTGTGTTTCCCGTTGTCTTCACTGTCTCACTGTGGTGCTGGCCCTAGGCTGTGGCTTCATCTGAGGGACTTCCTCCCTGCTGGCCAGGGGCTTAAGAGCCAGTGCAGCTTGGGCTCTGGACTGACGGAAAGGCTGGAGGCAGTGACCTCACTGGGCTCGCACACCTGGGGAGTGTCTGTCCTGGCGCTGTTCCATCTCATGCTGTCCAGCCCTGCTGAGAGCTGGGCCCAGTGGGTTGGGGTCTTTACAGGGCATCCTAGGAAGTGAACTTAGTGCAGCTTCAGTGCCAGGGGCTGGCAGATGGCTGGCATGGGCCAGCATAGGGCCCTCACTCACCCTTGTCCTGCCTACGCCACTCCAGCTCTCAGGAGAAGCACACACACTTTTCACTCTTACAAGTGCTGTTATGGAAGGAGGTGGCTTCCACACTGGAGAAGGGACAGGCTTTGCTCTCCGTCCACCCTGAACGGGTTGACAGTAAGGACAGGGCTTCTCCCATACCTGACTGACTGTCCTTTCAGGTGGCCTGCTGGGCTCCATAGGTGCAGCTGCAGGATATGCTTTCCAGGCAGCTGGGCTCTAGCTGAGGCCTCGCATTTCTCTAGATACTTTTTTCACTTCTGCCCCTGTATGTGTCTTATCCTAGGTCCATCAGTGACTCACTGTGGACCCTGAGCAGGTCATATCCTCTGTCTAGCTTAGCCCCCCACCCCTAGAGTGGTACCTCTTTGAGGTGGTTGCAAGGGCTAGTTGAAGTGTGCATGGACCCCAGGGCACCGACGCCACTGCTGTCATTGCTGTGGGCCCTGCCACTGCCTCGGCTATCCAGGAGCCTCCAGAGGCTGAGCCTGGGGCTTGGGCCTCAGATGAGGTTTCTGCCTGGTGTCAGTGGGGCTGGGGCCGCCTCCTGTGCCTTATTCAGCAGAGTGCCCGGAGCTTTCCACACACCCCGTGGAGCCCCCTGCACCATGTAGGAGCAGCAGATCCTAGACCAGTGGCTCTGGTATCCTGTGGACCATTTGCCGCCCCTGTTGCTGCAGGGCTCCAGAGCCTCACCTGGCTCTGTTCCTGTTGGATGGCGGTGTCCTCAGGGAGATGAGAAGGGAGCCTTAGTGACCACGTGAGACGTCACTGCCAGCCCCAGTCTTGGCTTCTGGGCTTCTGGTCAGACTCAGCGGCCCCCCAGACAGGGCCGACCACGTCGGGGAGGCCAGTGTTCCCTGGGCTGTGCCTGCTTCGTGTGGTGCCGGCCCCCTCCTGAGCCCCCGGACTCCTGGTTGGCAGCTCCCCGTGGGAAGCAGGCTGGGGCCAGCTCTGCTGCAGTGCTCGGGCAGGGCCAGCTCCCCAGGAGGGCGCCAGGGACCTCCCTGTCTTCCCAGGGCCACCCCTCGTTGCCCCTTTGGGCCTTCCTGGCCAGCTGACCACCTGCTGGGACCCTGTGCCAACTCCTGGTGCCAGCCAGCCCCTGCCCTGCACCCCTGGGACGTGGGACTGTTGCCCACCTGCTCAGGAGTGTCCCCGAGCTCACCCCCTCCCCAGCCTGGTGCTGTTCCCCTGCACGGTCCTGTGGGACACGTGAGAGAGGTGGGGCTGAAACTTGGTCCCGGTCTTCCCCACCTGGTCAGCATCACTCTGCCAGGGATCTTGAGGGCTCCTGCCGCCTCTCCCTCCTCCTTGTGCTCCCTGCACCCCCTCCCCATCCCTCCATTGCTATTTGTCCATCTATGGCTTCCCTGCGCAGCAGAGTGGCTGGGCAGTAACACTCATCGCAAGTCTCCCCGCAGCAGGCAGCAGAACTCGGCCCGGGCACGGTCCGTGTGGGAGCAGCGAGCCAGCCAGCTGCGGCTACAGAACCTGCGGGCCAGCTGTGAGGCACTGTACAGTGAGATGGACCCCGAGGAGCGACTACGGTATGCCACCTCACGCCACTTGCGGCCCGACATGAAGACGCACCTGGACCGGCCTCTGGTGGTGGAGCACAGCCGAGATGGACCTCGGGGTCCCACCGGTGGCAAAGCCCAGTCCGAGGCCACGGAGGCTATGGACCCACCTCGACGGCACCACCGGCACCGAGACAGGGACAAGGCCCCCACCACACTGCCCTCAGCCAGTGAGCAGGCCCAGGACCAGGCAGGTGCACAGAGAGCAGACCGGATGGACGGCGCGGAGCCAGGGGCCCGGGGGGAGCATGCGCGCCCCCGCCACAGCCGCAGCAAGGAGGCCACCGGTGGCCAGGAGGCCCGGGGGGAGCGCAGCCGGGGCCCTGAGGGCGGCAGGCGCCACCACCGCATGCACCGGCATGGGCCCGACCCGAGCAAGGACAAGGACAAGGACGGTCCTGTGGCCAAGGGCGAGCGGCGAGCTCGGCACCGGGGGCCCCGTGCAGGGCCCAAGGAGGCAGAAAGTGGCGAGGAGCCTGGGCGCCGGCACCGAGCGCGGCACAAGGCACCACCCACGCAGGAGGCCATGGAGAAGGAGGGCGAGGGCCCCGAAGGGGACCAGGAGGTCCGGAGCCGCCAGCTCAAGTATGTGACCGGCCTGGAGCAGGCCTGGTGCTGGGCGGGGACTGGGAGTCAGGGCCCTGTTTGTGTCGTGCAGGGGAAGGATTGGCCTGGGTGACGCCCTCCTGTCCCAGCTGACGGGCCAGGGCGACCAGGGCAGGCAGCCCTTATTGCTGCTGTTGGCCCCTCTGTCTGGGCAACATGCTCAAAGCTCCTTGGCACAGAGTCTGCTCAGCGAATGTCAGGCATCATTTTAAGCTACCCCAAGGGACAGAGGGCTCAGGGGAAAGCTGTTGTGTTTAGTGTGCACTGACAGGGAAAAACAGAGTGGCCTGACACTGCAGCAGGGTGAGGCCAGAGACCCTGAGGGAAGCCTGAGCGGGGTGCGGGGCAGGGCAGTACAACTGGAGAGGGCCGGGCTGTGTGGCTGTGACAGAAAGGTCCCCAGGCCACCTGATGCTGCAGGAGGCCTAGGGACAGGAGCCTAGAGGCTGAGCCAGCATCTCCACACACCAAGCAGGACAAGCATAGGTGGAAGCCACAGCTCAAGACCAACTAGCTGAGGCCCTGTCTTTGTGTGCAAAGCTCTGAGCTGGGCCTTTGGCCTGGTGGGACACCTGCTGGGGTGGCCCAGGGAAGCATCCTGCTCTGGACTTCTTCACACTGCGGGCAGTTCTGTTCTGTGTATCTCCTCTGTGTCTACATGTCTGTTTATAGTGTGTGACTTTGTGCCAGAGACAGGCAGATGAATCAGCCCCCATACATGCCTTTTGGACCTAAAGACAGAAGTGTACAGGTAGTAGAAACCTTACAGAATGACAGAACAGCAGAGGAAAGGGTGAGGTTTACTTGCCCTTGGTTGGTGTATAAGGAGCTAGGTGTTGCAGATTGAACAGGAGTTTGGGATTGCATCAAGCTCTGATGTACATTCTTGTTTGCAGGGACCCTCCCTGTGACCTGGAGGCCCGTGGGGTGATGGGTGTGGACCCTGTGCATGCACTCCCCAGCACCTGTCTTCAGAAGGTGGAGGAACAACCAGAGGATGCAGATAATCAGCGGAATGTCACTCGGATGGGCAGTCAACCCTCAGACCCAAGCACCGCTGTGCATGCCCCAGTAACACTGACAGACCCTGCTGGGGAGACCACAGCAGTTCCCAGTGAGTATCACTCTGCAAGCTGGGGAAGGGCCACTTTGTGCAGGTCCAGCTACCCTTCCCTCCTGCTCCCTGGCAGCTGCTGTGGAGCCAGTTTGCCTCTTCGAATTGTTCTCTGAGCTGGAGAGAAAGTCGTTTGCAGTCAGCATCTGTCCTTTGATAGCACTTGATTTTCTAGTGACCCAGAGGTAACTGAAGGTTAAGCTTCCTTTTCTTTCCTTCCAGAAATGTTTGTGAGTTGCCAGCTAATTCCAGGCACTGTGTTAGAGTGCTGGAACACAGAGGAGGGAAGTAGTATTGTCAGAGACAGACCACAAAACTATCTTGACCCTTTATAGTTGCACAAAAGCTGCTAAGGATTGTGGGGGCTGCCTTGACTGAGGCTGAGAGCTCGTGAGTGAGGAGGGGGTTATCCTACCTGCTCCTGTGCTCCCAAGGTGGTACTTTGAGGCTTCCCCAGACTTTGCCTGAACTGTCCTTTCTTCCCTCCCTAACCCTCACATGTGCCTATGACCTCAGCTGAGCAGGCACTGAGGGCACAGGTGAACCAGCCAGTCTAGAAGGGAGAAACCTGCAGGTAACAAATCTGCGCTCCTTCCGCAGTGAGGAAGGTGCATAAGCATCTCATGAGCACCAAGGAGAAACCATTCTGAGGGCACAGGGGAGTGACCAAACGAAGGCCAGCACAGTGTGTGGTGTCAAGCAGACCGAGTGAGCTTGCTCAGTTGCCCCGTACGCATGCCCACATTTGCAGTTGCAGGAACTGTAGCCTGGCGCATGATTGTAGGTAAAATAGTGGAAGGAGGTGGAGTTTGGCCTCTCAGCCTGCCCTCCACCTTAGGTTACTTGGAAGAAAACTGGTCATAGTCCATTTTCTTGCTTCACTTCTCATGGGCACAAGTTAGTTTTCGCCTTGTCAAACTCCTTATTTGATTCCCTCTGGATTAGCTAGAGGATGAACCCAGGGTCCCCACCTGATTTTTGTCCACAGGAGCCCAGGTGTGACCCCTCTCCACCCTATATATCCCCTTGCACTCCATCCCTGCTGGCAACCACTGATGTACTTTATCTAGAGTGTTGTCTTTTCCAGAGTGTTGATAGGTGCAGTCATACAGTGTGCAGCCTTTTCAAATTGGCATCTTTCACTTAGCAGCATGCACTCAGGGTTCTTGCGTTTCGTTGTGTAGCTTGATAAGCTTATTTCTTTTTAGCACTGAATTAAAATCCATCGTCTGGATATACCAGTTTGTTTATCCATCTACCTATTGAAGGACATCATGTCTACCTAATTTTTGGTAATTATGAGTAAAATTGCTCTAGGCATTCATGTGTGGAGATTTTTTTTTTTTTTTTTTGGTACCAGGGATCGAACTCCGGTCCTTGCGCTTGTGCAGCAGGCAGCGAAACCACTGAGCTGAATCCCTGGCCCATGTGGAGATTTTTTTTGGCACCTGAGATCAAACTCAGGAGCTCGCACTTGCGAGCCAGGCACGGTGTCGCTGAGCTAAATCGCTAGCCCTGGACATACACATTTTTAACTCATTGGGTTAAATACCTAAGAACATGATTTGTTGAGTTGTATGCTAAGACTATGTTTATTTTTGAAGGAATTACCAAATTGTCTTCTAGAGGGCTGGGGATTTATGCTCAGTGGTTCCACCTCCTGCCTCGCAAGCACAAGGTCCCCAGTTTGATCCCCAGTACCAAAAAAAAAAAAATTGTCTTGTAGAATGGCTGTATCATTGGGATTTCCACCAGCAGGGAATGAGAGTTCTTGTTGCTCCACATCCTCGCCAGCATTTGGTGTTATCAGTGATTCGGATTTTAGCCATTCTATTTAAGTGTATAGTGGTATCTTGTTTTAATTTCCAATTTCCGAAGGACATGATATCGGGCATCTTTTGCTATGATCTCTGTGTCTTCTTTGGTGAGGTTCCTGTCTTAGTCTTTGCCCACTGTTAAATTGGGTTGTGTGTTTTATAATTGTTGAATTTGAAGAATTCTTTGTATATGTTGGATACAAGTCTTTATTAGACATGTGTTTTACAAGTATATTATTTATGCCAGTCTGTGACTTTCACTTTTTATTCTCTGAATATTTGGTGTTTTTGATTGTTGCTTTTGGGGGCTAGGGATTAATCTGATCCTTGCTGTGACTTCTACTAGAAGCAAAAATGTAGGCTATTGAGTTTTGTATGTTAATTATATATCCTCCTACTTTTCTGAGTCTTGAAATTGCTTATTAGTTTTAGTGTTGATTCTCTTTGTTTTTTCCAAGTCTGTTGTCAAAACATCAATGAATATAGCTTTAACTCTTCCTTTCCAAGTCTTAGTCCTCTTGTTACTAGTTGTTTGGTTGTGCTGATGAGTTAGTGGGTACTGTTATCTTGCTTCTGTCTATACTAAATTTTAGATTCTAGTGTGGGGCCTGTAGGGCTTTGTGAGTGTAGAATCATGTTATGGTATCTATTAATTCCTATTTCAAAAAGTGTTTTATCTAGCAAAGATGTTGAATTTTGTTGGTCTTTTCAGTATCCATAGAGATTATATTTTTCCCTTAAGTGTGGAGATATATAGCAATGAATTTCCTAATGTGGAACTATCTTTGTAATCTTAGAATAACCCTCATTTGGTTATTATATTTATTTTTAATACGCTATTGGTTTCTGTTTAATATTTTACATAAGATACCTGGATTGATGCCTTGAGTGAGCTATGTTCTATAGCATCCTCATATATGTTTAAACATCATAAGGTTTAAGATATCATGCTTTTGCTCAACTTCATTACTCCATTCCTGAAAATCAGATGTTTTGAATGGGAGTCCCATTTTCTATAAATTTTGTTTCATTTCATATTCCATTCCATTCCATTTGTACTGAGAATTGAATCCATAGCCTCACACGTTAGTTAAGTGCTCTACCACTGAGTTACACCCCTAGCCTTTCCCATTTCTTTAGATGTTAACAGATTATGAAGTACCACATGTCAACTCAAAATCCCCAGTTTCCTAAAATATAGCTAAGGCATAGTTAAATATTGAAAAGCCACAGTATCATATTAGGACATAAAATGAGTAACATTTTTTCCTGATCAGCAGCTAAAATAGCTATTAATAAGTGATTGCTTTGGACACCTCCTCTGTTGAAACTATTGAACTTTTGAAAAATAACTATACATGATTGTGATAATTTATCAGGTGAATTTACACTCTTGCCTGAGTACAGTTTTACTTTGTTTAAAAGGCTGTATTGACTTTTAGGGATGTAAACATTCTTCCTACTTTTAACATCAGCCAAAAAATCAAAAGGATTGTAATGAGACAGTTTTACAAAATTGTAAGTTTGTATCTGAAAAATTAGAGGACCTCTACTGGCAAGTTCTACTTGAGGAGCTATTCTGTGGGATATAACAGTTACTGGTTAGTAAAAAGAATTGGAATGCTTTCTTCTTTTCCTGTGCTCTGGGGTAGTCTAAGAACCATTAGGTTGGGCATTGTGGCGGACACCTGTAATCCCAGCATTTGGGAGGCTGAGGCAGGAGGATTGCACAAGTTTGAGGCCAGCCTGGGCTGCATAGTGAGACCCTGTCTCAAAAAGAAAACAAAGCAAAACAAAAAAAGAACAGCCATTAAAATTACATGGTCTTTCCGTAGACTGTTTTTTTTGAGATTGGGTATGCCTGGTCTTTTTTTGCAAGGTAATTCTTCAGCAATTTCTCTATTTCTGTGTGGATATCGGTCTGTTTAAACATTGTAGTCTCCTGAGATGAGTTTGGTAAATTATATTTCCTTTAAAAATTATCCATCTGATTTAGCTTTTCTAATTTATTTACATAAACTTATGCAAAGAAGTGGCTTGGTTTTTGTTTTACTTTGTTTTTGTTAATTTCTCTCTGGTTCAGTGATTTTTCCTCTTGTCACTTTTTAGTCTCTGTATTTTTAGGTCTCTCTCCCTTTCCTTTGCTTCACTAGATTATCTAGTAGTTTATGTGTTTTATAGACTTTCATAAAATGAAAATCATTAATTCTACTATAGTTTTTAAAATCATGACGTTTCGGGCCAGGGATTCAGCTCAGTGGTTTTGCTGCCTGCTGTGCAAACGCAAGGACCCGAGTTCAATCTCTGGTACCAAAAAAAAAAAATCGTGTTATTCCTTTTATAACTTCTTGAGTTAGATATTTTATTCTTTACTGTTTATTACATGAGTATTTAAGGATATGGATTTTCCTCTGATCACTAATTTAATTGTATTCCACAGATCCTGAACATTTGGTATCTCCATCTTAATTAAATTTTTAAGTAAATGATTTGGTTTTGGCTCGTATTTATCCAAGGCATGTCTTTGTAGATTGCTTGGGTTTTTACCTACAGAATTATCTGCAAATGCGTGGTTTTATTTTACCCTTTCTGCCACACAGACTTTTATCCCCCTCCTCTGTTGTGCTGGGCGACAGCGCACTGTGCTGGCAGCACTGGTGAGGATGGACACTCCCTGCTCCCATTTTTTGGGAAGGACTGTTCATTTTCCATAATTTTAGTATGATGTTACCTGAACAGTTTTTATCTTTTTGTTTTTGTAGCTGTCCTTTATCAAGTCGACAAGATTCCACCCCATTCCCCTTTTTCCCAAGTTTTTTTTCCAAGTCTATTTAATGAAAAGAACTTTTTGTCATTAATGGTTGAATGTTGTTAAATGATCTTCTGCATCAGTTTATATAATCATGTGCTGTACACCCTCTTGGTTGTTGTGCGTAATTATTTCTGTATGTTGCCCAGTTCTATTTCTTATACTTTGTTAAGGAGTTTTATCCAAAATTTATGAGGGATATTGGTCTGTAGTTTGTTTTTTTGTACTGTCCTTGTCTGGCTTGTGTATCAGAGCAGCACTGGATCTGTGCAATATTTTGAATTTAATAGAATTGTTCTCTCTTCTGTTTTCCATAATAGATTGTGTTGAACTGGTGTTACTTTTCTCTTAGATATTTGGTAGAATTTTCCAAA